TTTTTCATGATGTAAAAATCATTGGTTATTATGTCTATCATAAATGTTTTAGCAATTTCTTTCTCAATATAAATTTTTATTAAATTGGTGAAAATTTTATCATCTCTATGAGCATTAAATGATTTAAATACATCATTAGAATTTAATGTTCTGTTCAATGTAATAAACTCTATTACTTGCTTATTGAATTTTCTATGTAATTCTTTCAATTGATAAACATAGTAAATAAACATATCAACACATTAATAATGCTCAATTATCATAAAATTTTTATGTCAATGAGATCAAATTATATCAAAATAAAAATTATTCATATAATAAATAATTATTTAAAAAATAATTTTTTTTAGAAGAACATCATCACCAAAGCTCTTAACTTTTGGATAAGTGATTTTATGATAGATATCAAACGCATAACATTCAATATTTCTTAGGATTTTTGTTGCAATGCTTAACAAAGTTTGTTAATAATAATTCTTATAATTTCTTTCATTAAATATAACATGAAAGCAAAATAAAATGACATCAATATTTTAAGAGCATGTATAACATTATCTTGTTAAAAATAAATAGATCCTATGACAACTATATCTTCAAACTATGAAAATAGTTGCTTTTGACATATATAAAAGATTATATATAAAATTGAAATAAAAATTTCATCTAATGTTTCATAACTTTTATAATATGTCAATTTATTAGAGTTGAAAATATATAATTCTTACATTTTACTAAAAAAATTAAAAACTTAAGGAGGTCGTGGCCCCTACTAATCCCCCTTCACTCCACACCCCTATGTGCCTTATTTCTTTTAAAGCTCTATTTATTGCACATTTAATCATTATGATTTAATGTCTTGTTTTTTGCTGCCTTCTGCTCATTCTTTATGTAATGACTTTCAACACAAGAAGTAACAGAATTTATGTGCACATTAATCACCATTAAATTCTTATGTCATATTAAAAAAATATAGAGATTAACATTGCATATAAATGAAATTTAATAGACTTGTAATAATGAAAAAAAGTATATGAATTAATACAAAAATACGTTAAAAGTATAGTAACTAACAATTATATTTTTCTTAAATTTTATAGCACAATCTTTTCTTTTGGTGTGTATTAAAATTGACGAATAGGCCATTTGCCTCTGCCTCAAAGAGAAAGTAAGCATCCTCAAATATTCAGACCAAGATGTTTTATCTCATAGACTGATTTATTTATTTATTTATGAGATGCCGAATAGCTATAATATACATTCAAGAAATCTACACTTGACTCCCAATTTGCCAATACCAGTGAAAACTAATGACAAATCATAAATGAAAGAGACAAACTATTGAAAAGAGATTCTCCACATCAATATAAAATCACACTTCGAGGAGCAATATTTTTCTATCAAATCACACAAAGGGAAAAGACCCATCACTGCTTAATATAATGGATGGGATATGGGCAATTCTTTTCCTATCATCACTTCCAAACTCTGCATCTTTGTTACAACAATGGAGATCCGTTTATTACCAATCTTTTTAATGATTTCAGATTATGAAGGCCATCAGGAAGTGATGTCAAATTCCTGCAATAATGGAACTCAAGGTAGAGCAATGAAGAGAGATTTCCAATCCAGTCTGGTAAACTTTCCCCACAAAATCTTTCAATAGCCAGACTTTTGATGCCATCACGAGGACGAAGCCTTTCTAAAACTAGCTCATCATCTGCAACTCCATCTTCAGAGGACCAAACCAAAGTTAAATGTTGAAGATGTTGCTTCTCTTTCAACTTTTCTGACTCAGCTTCTTCATGGTTATGCCTTAGGTGTTTCAAGCCACAGATTTGTAAAGAACCTCCCAAATTGTTAAGTCCACCTGATTCACTCATCCATCCTGCACTGTCCCTGGCTAATTGAATCCTCTTATCACCTGTTACAAATTCTGTAAAGGTTTACAGAGAAGTTAATTGTCCCAACCAATGTGGCATCCATATCAACTTGCAATTGTCAATTTGAAGGTGTCTCAGGTTGACCAAATTACCGGTATTACTTGGCAATTCAAGAACATCAGTGTTGGAGAGGTTCAAGGTTTGCAAATTGTGCAGTCCGCTAATATCCCTTGGAAGCTGGCTTATCTTATTTTGTGAAAGATCTCAAGAAATCTTAGATGCTTCAAATTTCCATTACTCACTGGAATTTGTGTGATATTTGAGCTTTGTAAGACAAGGACGTGTACACAATTTAATTTTAATGTGACTAAACCAAAACATGTGTCATCCATTAGACAACTAAAACGACCTCTCTTGAACAGAACTGTTCTTAATTTTTCAAATTTGAGGGAGGAAGGTAGAACTTTCTAGTTCTTGCTTGAGAAATCACATGACAAATGACATGTTGTGCCTCTATTTCTTTGTTCTTTTCTTTCATTGATAACAAGATACTCATTCTTCACTACAAATCGAGCTAAATCATGTATAAGGTCATGCAATTTGCATGTCTCTATGTCACCATACTTGTTTCTTTTCACATCTTGGAAGAAGGACCTTGAAAGCAGATTCATGAAGTGCTCATGACCAACATCTTCCTCACATCTCATTTGATCCAATGACAGAAAGAATCCTTCAGCCACCCACATTTTAATTAAAGTTTGCTTTTTGAATGAATAACCTTTTGGAAACAATGAACAAAAAGCGACACAATTTTTCATGGGTGAAGAAAGATGATCATACCTGAGTTTAAGCACTGCAATAATTCTCTCCTCCACATGATCCATGTTCCAAAGTTCACTATTCCTCAAGTATGAAAAATCTGTTCTTTCTGAGGTTTTATCATACACTAGTCTTCCAACAATTCCAATGGCCTGCCCATTGTCTTACAATCTCCCTTCCAGTTGCTACCAACTCCATATTTTCTGATTCCTTTTCATTTCCATAGGCCATTGGACAAAACAATTTCCATCATCTTTCTTCACTCAGACCTTGAAGGGAAATTGTTTAACCATCTGTGTCCATTATCTCTGCTACTTTCACACTGCGTGTAGTTACAATCATCTTACTCCCATGTGCTTCCTCCATCAACAAGCTTTTCAACTTGAGCCACGGCTCAACATCTTCATTCCACACATCGTCCTACACAATTAAAAATATCTTACCCTAAATGGATTGTCTAAGATCCTGCTGCACCTGCTCCATGTCTTTTTTGTTTTCTTGCCCTAGAATCTTTTGAGCTATTTGCCTGACATCAAATTCATCAGACACACACACCCACCTTTTGAGCTCAAAACATTTTTGGACATTTCCATGATTGTACACAAGCAGAGCAAGTGCAGTCTTACCTAGCCCTCCAAATCCAACTATGAGAATAGTTGAAAATTTAGTTTTGATAGCAGAGTACAATAAATAATGAAGAACGAGGTTTAGTTCCACCTCTCTCCCAATAATTTCATCTTTTGGAACAAAAGAGTAAGTTTGCTTTCTGTCCTCGTTATCAGATGAAGGCTTAAGAGGTTGATCATTCAATTTCAATTTTTTCTTCTCATCATCAATCTCATCCAAGCCTTTCCCTGATTTCCCTCGTTTTATGACCCATCTTAAGATTATAAAAAACTTGCTTTAATTTGGAGAAGAATATCTTTACCTTCTTTGCGGGCTTGTTTCGAGTCATGATTTCCCGCCTCAGAACTCTAATGGACAAATCATCAATAGGTCATCTGCATCATAGAGTACATCTTTGAGCCTTTCAAGCTAAAAGCTGACTTGATGGTTCTTGGCCTTTGCCTCACATCCAAAAGGGTAAATCTGATAGCATGGACCGTGTTCTTCATCTTTTCCACATTATCTTTAGCATTGCACATAAGTTTGAACTCATCACCAGCCAACGACGTCAATTCGTCAAGAACTTTGGCAGCGATGGCGTCTATCTTCAAAGGCAAGCAACGTTTGGAAGGAGACAATACTTTGATGCTCACCCCAGTTTATGGGTTTGGAGAAGAATTCATAAGCTCTTAATTTCTGTAAAATTCATTTTGTTATCTCATTGGTTTTTGCCATCATTTTTTCTAACTTTTGTAATTGAACTGCAACGCAACTTGCAAGGTAAATATAGATAATTTTTTTAAATATAAATGTAGATAGTTTTGCTCGTGTGAAAATGAAGGTCACAACTCAATGTCGCATGCCAAATTCAGAATGCATAGTGGACGTCCGTTTTATGGGAGAATGTGAGATCTTCCAGAAATGAAAAAAAAAGGTAAATGTTCTAAATAACTGAATATTCATTTACACACAAATTAATTAATCAACTTTTAGTTATGCAAAAATGAACTTTTAATTGTTTAAAATCTGTTTTTCTTTTCCCCTTGCCTTCACTGCCATTCTCCCTCATTTTTTTTCATTGCCATGGCTTCGAATAGTTCTGTCAAATGAACAAAGATGTATAATGTATCTATTGAATTATTTGTTGAATAAAACTTTTATATTTAATTTAACTATTTAGATAGAGTCACACAAAATTGGACGCGATTTACTTTTTATCATTATATTTATTTATTTAACTGCCACCTTTTTTATCTCTTCTTGTGTACACATTGAATACAAATGAATGTAATGAACGTCATAAAACCACAGATATATTACTTTTAAAAAATTTAAATAATTATTATAAAATTTTACAAAATAAAATTTTCAAAAAATAAGTGATTTTTTATGAAAAAAAACTTAAACAAATTGATAGGTATTCAAATGAAAAATGTTACACAATCACTGGGCTGTATTATCGAATAGAAAGAAATGAACCCAAAAAAATTATATCAATATTGCATATATGCAGGAGAGGCAAAGCAATGTAGTTTCCAATTTATTGAAAAACGTCCGTCACTGCTTAAGATCCAAACAATATTGAGGAACATAAATTATTCTGTAAAACATTGTTCACACTCAAGATGTCCGCATTAAGCTACCAATAAGCAAGTGACTGGTGAATGTTAAATAACAAGCTACAATGGAAAGAGATTAACTCATGAAAGAGATTCTCCACAACATTATCAAATCTAACCCTCCAAGCACCAAAATTATTCTATCGACATGCAGGAGTTAAAAACAAGGTTAATATCACTAGTAAATAAAATCGATGGGATATGAGCAATTTTTTGCCACTCAGCCCCACTTTTATCTTGACATGTTTCATCTAGCAATGGGCATTCGATTATGTCCAATGTTTGTAATGATATGAGATTACGAAGGCCTTCAGGAAATGATGTCAAAGACTTGCAGTCATAGAGTTCAATGTGTTGCAGTGACAAGAGATTTCCAATCCAACCTGGTAACTTCTCTCCACAAAATCCTTGTATAGCTAGACGTTTTATGGTATGATGTGGATGTAGCCTTTCTAAAGTCAATTAATCTTCAAAAGCAACTTTAGGGGATTTATCAGAGAGCCAAACCAATGATAACTGTTGAAGATGTTGCTTCTCTTTCAATTTTACAGACTCCGCCTCTTTAGGGTTTGGTCTTAGGTTTTGCAAGCCTCTGATTTCTAAACTTCCTCTCAAGTTGTTTAGACCACCCAGTTCACTTATCCTTGCACTACGCCTTTTTCCACGCATCTTCTGATCATCTACTGCAAAACGTGTCAATGTTAGGAGAGAAGTTAATTGCCCTATCCCACGTGGCATCCATTCCAAGCAGCAATGATCACTAAGCCGAAGATACCTCAAGCTTACCAGTTTACTGATGTCTCTAGGCAAGTTGTGGAGTCTGGTGATAGCCTTTGGAATTTTCCCTATTTGATTAAATGAAAGATCGAGAAATCTTAAATGCTTCAAGTTTCCTATGCTTCTGGGAATTTTGGTAATATTTGAGCCATGTAAGTCCAGAACACGTAAGAACTTCAATTTTGATGCAACCAAGTCAAAAGTAGAGTGATCCATCGAATAAAAGAAACAAGTATTGGCCAAGAGCATTGTTCTTAATTTTTCAAACTTAAGGAATGAAGTTGAAACTTCCCAATTTCCCCTTGGCACATCATAAGACAAATGACGTGTTGTGTCCTTATGACTCTCTTCTTTTCCTTCTCTAATGACAAGATACTCGTGCTTTGCTACAAATTGTGCTAAATCATGTATAAGGTCATGCATTTTGCATGTCACTATATCGCCATGATTATTTCTTTCCACATCTTGGAAGAAGGACCTAGAAAGTAGATTCATAAAGTATTCATGCCCAACATCTTCCTCACACCTCATCTCATCAGATGACTGAATGAATCCTTTGGCCACCCACATTTGAATTAGTGTTTGCTTCCTCAATGAAAAATCTTTTGGAAACAATGAACAAAAAGCAACACAATTCTTCATGGGAGAAGGAAGATGATCATAAGAGAGTTTAAGCACTGCAAATATTCTCTCCTCCAATTGATCTATGTTCCAAAGCTCACAATTCCACAAGTATGACAAATCTATTCCTTCTAAGGTCTTATCATACACAAGCCTTCCAACAATTCTAATAGCAAGAGGAACTCCTGCACATTTTTGGACAATCTCCCTTCCAACTGCCAACAAATCCTTATCATTTGATTCTTTGCCCCCTTCAAAAGCCATTCTACAAAACAATTCCCATGATCTTGCACAATCCAGACCTTTAAGGATAATAGGAGGATAGGTTCCTATCATCTTTCCCACCTTCTCACTACGTGTGGTAACAATTATCTTGCTCCCCTCTGCGCCCTTGACAAGTAAGCTTTTCAGCTTATGCCAAAGCTCAACATTTTCATTCCACATATCATCTAACACCATCAAAAATCTCTTCCCGTCAATTAATTGCCTAAAGTCTTGTTGCACTTGCTCCATCTCTCCTATTTTATCTTGTCTTAAAATCTTTTGAGCGATTTGTCTCTCGTCGAATTCATCAGACACACACACCCACCTTTTAAGCTCAAAATAAGTTTGAACGTCCTCGTGGTTGTACGTAAGTTGAGCAAGTGCAGTCTTGCCTAACCCACCAAATCCAACGATGGGAATAATTGAAACACTACATTCCATATTGCTGTCTAACAAATAATGTAAAACGAGATTTTTTTCCTCCTCTCTCCCAACAATTTCTTCCTCTTGCACAAACGACCATGTTTGTTTCCGTTCTTCATGTATAGATAGGGGCTTAAGAGGATGATCAGTCAATTGGAATTTTTTCCTCTCATCATCAATTTCATCTAACCATCCCCTGATTTCCCTCATTTTATGAGCCATCTTTAGATTATAAACAACTTAGTTTGATTTGGAGAATATCCGTACCTTCTTTGCCACCTTGTTTTGAGTGATGATTCCCCTCCTCATAGCTTCAGTGGATAAATCATCAAGCAGGTCATCTGCATCATCGAGTACATCCTTGAGTCTCTCCAGCCAAAAGCTCAGTTGATGGTTGTTGACCTTCGCCTCTGCATCCAACAGTGTAGCTCTGATTGCAAGGATCGTGTTCTTCATCCTTTCTACATCATGTTTAACATTCCACAGTAATTTGAACTCTTCAAGAGCCAAAGAGGTCAATCCCTGAAGAACTTTCAGGGCGATGGCGTCCATCTTTCTAGTGGGTGAGAGAAAGTGTTGACTCCTAGTTTGCGGGGTTGATGTGTCGTTGCAAACTGCCAGCCTGCATAAATAATAAAAGAAGGCCACTTACATGTACAAAAGCATCTTACAGCTTGCAATTTTTAATTTGATCAAAGAGCAACTTGGACTTTTTAAAAAAGCTACAGCGGTTTCCTTTTATGATATATAAAACCGAATCGCAACATCATGGAGGTTGCTCTCTATACGAAATTCTTTCCCAATTCAAATTTTATATTGATATTGACACTGATAAGAGATGTAATGAACAACAATGACCACGATTTATATGTAATATAATATAATATAATTAAAAAAACCTACCAACTTAAACACGGCTCCATTCTATGTCTCTGAGGAAAAACAAAATTACGTAAAAGAAGCTGCAGCGGTTCCAGTTTACGTAAAACAAAACTACTCCCTTTGAGATTGAGTTAAAAGTGATTTTATATGACTTTCGAGGAAGTTATGCAAGTTGTTGAAAATTAATATAGATATATGTGTATATGTGTATATATATATATATATATATATTATTCATGATAGTAGAATTCCACTCTCTGGTTTTCTTATATTCCCAACTTGAACTTGTTGATCTTGACTCATCAATTTCGTCAGGGAACGTGCCCTGTGACTTTCGGCAGTAAAAAAGCCAGAGGTGATCAGGGACTCTGTAAAGAGATTGGCAACATCAAAATGAAATCAATCTCCAAGTAGTATTGCTATTGTAGCTACGTAGAGGAACACAGGGAAGAGCTTCTTTTCATTCATTACCTCAGTTATTTCTATTGCAGGGACGAATCTAGAAGCTAACGAAATTTTTTTTTTTTTTTTCTGGGGGGGGGGGGGATTGAAAATAAATCGTTGAATGGGAGGCGAAAATCTATTTTTAAAATTTTTACGAGCTTACAAGGGGGCAAGCACCCTTCTTGCCCCCAGATCTCTGATTATCAAAGAAATTAATTTGTAAACCAATCACAACATCAAAGATGAAATGAAAAATTACACAAATTGATCCATGGATTCAATCATTCATGTGATATTAATCAACGATACAAAAAAAAACCGTAGTGTGTAGAATTCCATACAACTATTTGTCGTGGAAATTAATGTGGAACAGAAGGATTCAACACTTGAGATTAAAAGATCACAGTAATGATCTAATAAATTGGGGCTCTCCACTCTCAAAGCTGTCTTTGTTTTAAGGGATTGAATCATCTTCTTGTTATCTTTTCCAATAGGAACATGTCATCTCAGTCGCAGCAGCAGAGAAAATATGCATCCCTTGCATGCAGATCAAAAGATTCAAAGCAACACGAAACAGAGTGTTTGCATTATGTCATTATATAACTCATAGAGACAGTCAAGAAAGAAAAGGTTTTTCAACATGCTGCAGCAATACATTCTTTGCGATCTTTTGCGACTTTCAAGAGAGTTGGGGGGGAAAAAAAGGCCTATGATCATAAACTGTACAAAATAACGTTTTTTCGAGTTTGTTTATATATGTACGTATGTATGTATTAATAAATCTGTTAACAAATTGCATCGTTCGTTCTGTCCAATCTAGTTGGTATTAACAAATCATAAAAATTAAAACTCATGAACCACGCCGGAGATGATTGAGTAGAGAATCTACGAGGTGAGAAAATAGGAGAAAACGGTGAAAGAAGAAGAAGGATCCCTCAGAAAGCCAAGTATCTACAATTACTGTGGGAGGCATGAGGAAGGGTTTGGTTGGTTCCTCAACCTCTGCAGCTAAAGAGGGAGCACCACCATTTTCCCATTGCTTTCGCATGCCCCTTCTTCTGATTACTAAAATTTTCCTCACCGGGATTCCGTGATCGCCCACTAAACACACACAATCTCCGACTTACAGACATTTCTCCAGCGTACACGATGAAATCGACTCCGACCACCGTCTTTATATCTCACCGATAAATCTAAATTAACAATTCTAGGGTTTTTGATTTATGCACTGTGTATTCTTCTTTCGGACCCGGATGGGTCGGGACTGCCTTTGATTCCTTGAAGCCCCAACCTATCTAATAGGCTTATAGCGGAGAATGAAAGGCCTTTTCAGTTTTACTTTGGGGGGCCGAATTTCAGTTTTACTCCTTTAATCCTTAGCCTTATCGTCAAACTTTAATCAATATTCATTACCCACAAAAAACTTCAATAAATATTTATGTTGTATTTATTATCTGGCCAAAAAAATTGTATTTATTCACGTATCATTTGGATATGCTTATTAAAAAAAATTATGTGATTTTTTTAAATTTATTAAATTGTTTTATCCATTTATTGCTGAGTCTATCTTGAAAAAAAATACAAAACAAACAAGCCAATATTCTTTTAGGGGAAAAAGTTAATCAAAGATTTGGTTGTTTGGAAAGTTAAGTAAAATAAGGTTAATTGTAAGAGGAGAGAATTATGTGAGTACTTGCTCTACAATAATTTTGTTAAGAGATAAATTGTAAACATTAATTGAGATAATCAAAAATACAAATGTCACAATTTTACAAATCATGAATTAACTATATATCACAGTTTAGTCTCATAGTTTTACAACTGAGGCTCTCATAGTTATTTAAATCATTATTTGCGTCTGATCTATCCACAAAATTGGGATCATGCTGTCATTAATTTGAAGTTTTAGGATCTAAATATCATTCTTCCATTTTCTAAAACACTTGGCGGCTTTTTATTCCACCGACTAAACCTGATTGGTACTTTTATTATATTTGAAACACAAAACGTAAGAGGATAGAGACTTTTGTGGAATTTTACATTGTAAAAATATTATAATATGAAATTAAGAAACCTTGTTTGAAAACATGGCATATCCAGCCAAAAGACTCGTTAAAACAAAATGGAGAAATCATAAAGTCGATCTTGTGTTAGTATAAAATACAACCCACAGCTCAGGTGCTGATTTTAAAACATCAAGTTGTGTTATAAATTTTAAGGGCATAAACTTTACCATGGAGATATATGCCTGATCATGGAGATACAGATCCCATATCCCGTCATCTTCACTATCTTCTGCTTCCTCGTTGTGATCCAAAAGCTCTACTTTTCCAAGAAACCCATCAAAACCCTACCACCAGGGCCATGGAAATTACCTCTCATAGGAAACCTACACCAACTTGTTGGATCTCTACCTCATCGTTCTCTGGCAAATCTTGCGAACAAGTATGGACCATTCATCCACCTTCAACTTGGCCAGCTTTCTCACATCATAGTGTCTTCACCAGATTGTGCCAAAGAAATAATGCAGACACATGATCAGATCTTTGCTAACAGACCCAGAATTCTTGCTTCTGATCTCTTGTGTTACAATAGCACAGACATCGTGTTTTCCCCATATGGAAACTATTGGAGGCAACTTCGAAAGATTTGTACTTTAGAGCTTTTCTCAGCAAAGAGGGTTCAATCATTCAGAAGGATTAGGGAAGAAGAGGTTTCAGCACTTGTGAGGAACATCTTTGAACATGAAGGTTCTATCATTAACCTCAGTCGAAAAATCTTTGAACTCACGAACTCTGTCGTCGCAAGAGCAGCCCTTGGCAAGAAGACAAAGAACGTAGAACAAATCCTGCAAATTATAGAGCAAGCACAAAAGATAAGTTCTGGGTTGGCAATTTCTGATTTTTATCCTTCACTGAAATTTATTAGTGTCATCACTGGGATGAGAGCTCGAACTATGAAGGCGCACAAAGACAGTGACAAAGTGTTTGAAGACATCATCAGAGACCACAAAGAAAAGAAAGGAAATAACATTGGAGATCTAGAAGAGGATCTGGTTGATGTTCTTCTCAAGATTCAAACGAACAATGACTTTGAGATCCCCTTATCTCTAGACAACATTAAAGCTGTTCTTCTGGTTAGTCCATGCTCACTTTGTCATATAAACGAAAGTTTTTCCAAATATATGTATATCACATATAATTTGTAATATTTGACAAACTCTAACACAAGCCCATGTATATGCACATCCCTCATGTGAATCCCTTTTTAGGACGTTTTCTTTGGTGGAACTGAAACAGCAGGATCTACGATAGAGTTTGCGATGTCAGAATTGCTCAAAAACCCAGAGGTTATGAAAGAGGCACAACAAGAGGTATGGGCACAATTTGAATTTCAAATATCATATTATAATTTTGTAGGTTGTATACATGTGCATATTATATTATTCATTTAAGAAAAAACATAATTATTGATCCCTATAGTTTATCATATTTTGTCGTCAATCTTGTGCTCTTTTTTTTTATGTTCCAAGTCCCTCTAGTTTTTCCTATCTACATTAATCCATCTATTTTTAAATATGCCTAAAAAAATAATGATGCAGCCCTAATAACAATATTAAATTATCTAAAATGTAACTATCAATGTTAATAAAGATGCTAGCATGTTTAAAATATAATGAGTTGGCAATTTGAATCAACAATATGTAAAAAGGGGACAATTACTTTGTGACTAAAACTATTCTGGCAATAGTGCTTGTTACCATTGAAAAGTAATTTTCAAGTTAGTGTGGGTTAAGCCTTTTTTCATATGCATCAAATATCCTAATTTAGCACCGTTAGTGTCACTGCATTATCTCTTTGGACATATTTAAAAAGAAAAAGAACTAACATTGCAAATAGAAAAAAACAAGTACAAGGATCAATAATAAAATACAATTAAAATATATGGAACAATAGTTATGTTTTTCCTATTGATTTATAAATTTGAGATTATTGAGTTCATTTATGAGAATTATCTATTTCCTTTACTTTAGGTAAGAAGAGTCTATGGAGGCACAGGTTATGTAGATGAATCAGAACTTCACCGATTAACATACATAGGTGCTGTGATTAAAGAAACCCTAAGGCTATATCCACCAGTGCCATTGTTGGTTCCAAGAGAGAACAGCAAGTGTTGCGAAATCAATGGATATCATATACCTCTGAAGACAAAGATTATAATTAATGCTTGGGCCATTGGAAGAGACCCCAAGAATTGGTATGAACCAGAAAGATTTGAACCAAAAAGATTTATTGATACAACAGTTGATTACAACTTCAAAGGTTTAAACTTGGAGTACATTCCATTTGGTTCTGGAAGAAGAATTTGCCCTGGAATTACATTTGCCACACCTGTTTTAGAATTGTTACTTTCCAATTTGCTTTACCATTTTGATTGGCAACTTCCAGAAGGAATGAAACCTGAGGATTTGGATTTGGATGAGACTTTTGGTTCTGCAGTAAGAAGGAAAAACGACCTAAGTGTAATTCCTATTGGTTATTCCCCTTAATTAGGTTATATGCATATATTTATCACCGAAATATGTTTTATGTAGGAGGTTAAAATTGTGCGAACTACTTGTTTTTCATTATTATTTAAATTATGTTCTTAATATTTATTCTAATTATATACATACATACATACATACATATATATATATATATATATATATTCAATTTGCAATCAACTCCATAGAATTTAAATCCTTAAAATCATCACTCGTCCAAAAACACCCTAAAAAAGAAGAGCCACCATATGCAGGAGTTTAAAAATAATAAAATAAATTATTAAAACTATCAAATCTGTCAATATATAATATAAAAGTTATAACCTTGTGTTTTGGAAGTCAAAATAATTAATGAGATATATAATAAGCAAAAATAAACATGGCCTTTATAATTTATAATTGGACATATTTATTAAAGAAATAGGATAAATGGGTTCACTAGCCGAAAAAAAATCTTATGTCTAAAAAATATAGATCAAATTTGTAAAAATTTGAGAGTATGGCCACTTTACATTAATATATAAAAAATTTATTATTAAAAATTGAAAAATTTACAAGAAGTTTATGATTAATATATAACAGTGTATCATTGACAAATATAATAAACAGATCTTAATGCAAAATATAATAAATATTAGGCTGTTTTTTCGGTTTAGTCTTATAATAAAAACTACATCTAGAAAAAAAACCCAAAAAAAATTCTATAATTGGTTTAATTCATATTACATTACAATATATTTTATATTAAGTGGGAGCCCTTGTATCTGAATTTTTAAAAAATAAAAATAAAAAATATTTGATGCACAAAATGCCGCCTCGTTCTTCGATGCCCAGATGGCCGACATCTCCTTTTTTATATTTACCTCACAGTCAGGCCTGACTTGTTCTGCGGGTTAAATCTTGCAAACAAATATGGATCATTCATCCACCTTCAACTTGGTCAGCTTTCTCATATCATGGTATCTTCACCAGAATATGCCAAAGAGATAATGAAGACTCATGATCAGATCTTTGCAAACAGACCCACAAATCTTCCCTCTCATGTCTTGTACTACAATGCCACAGACATTATCTTTTCCCCATGTGGAAACTACTGGAGGCAACTTAGAAAGATTTGTATTTTGGAACTTTTCTCCAAGAAAAGGGTCCAATCATTCAGAAAAATAAGACGAGGAGGCTTAAGCACTTGTGAGGAATATCTCTGAAGAACATGAAGGTTCTGTCATTAATCTTAGCAGAAAAACCTTCATATGCGTGAATTATGTAGTTGCAAGAGCAGCTTGTGGCAAAAAGACAAAGAACATAGAACATCTCCTGCAAACTATGGAACAATCAATAAAGATTGGCTCTGGATTATCGATTTCTGATTTCTGTCCTTCACTGAAATTTATCAGTATCATCACTGGGATGAGAGCTAAAGTTATGAAGTTGCATAGAGATGGTGATAGAGTGTTTGATGACATTATCAGAGACCATAAATAAAAGAAAACAGGCAATAATTTTGGAGATGTGGAGGATGATCTAGTTGATGTTCTTCTCAAGATTCAAAAGGACAATGACTTTGAGATTTCCTTATCTCTTGGCAACATTAAAGCTGTTATTAAGGTTAGTCCAATGTATTTGCACTTTATCATATAAATGTTACATAATTTGCAATTTGATACACAAAAGGCACTGATCACATGATTTATCCTTCTAATCAAATTGTGAATCTCTTTTCAGGATGTTTTCTTTGCTGGAACAGGAACAACTGTGGCTACAGCAGAGTGAGTAATGTCAGAATTGCTCAAAAACCCAGAGGCAATGACAGAGGCACAAGCAGAGGTATGGGCGCAATTAGGATCTTGAACATATTGCATTACGATCTTGTTGGTTATGTCTGTGTTGATATGATTAAGCTTAGTTTGGAATGTGAGAAAAATGGCAGGAAAATAGGAATGAGAGAAAATTAAAAAAAAAATCAAAAATATTTTTTTAATATTTTTAAGAATTTTCCTTCTCCCCTGTTTTCCAACACATCCAAGCGAAGTATTGGTATACTCGATTACTTATCTAGACTTATGTCACTTTTAATATGTTTCATCATAGACCAAAAAAAAAACTTAAATTCATTAACTTTATCAAAAAATTCAGTAACTTTTCAACCTCACCTATTAAAATATATATATATATATATATATAACATATCTTTTCTTGCCAACATTTATTGGAGAATAAAGGTAGAATTTGTAATAAAACTTTAATAATATGACTTCTAAATAGGAGTTAAAAATGGTCTCTCTCTATCTTATAAATAGAACTATAAGGAGTATTTATTTATTAATATAGATTTAAAAAATTTGAAATTGTTTAGTAGTTGTTTTCATATGAGACTTATTGGTTATCTATATTAGGTAAGAAGAGTCTATGGATGCAAAGGGTATGTAGATGAATCAGAACTTCACCAATTAAAGTATTTAAGTGCTGTTATCATAGAAACCTCCAGGCTACATCCACCTGGGACTAGGCCTGTGCAGGATGCCCATGAACCCGAGATGCCCGGCCCGACCCGAGCAAAATATGCCCAACCCGAGCCCTAAAAAAATTGCCCAATTCTATTTGGGCATGGTCGGGCTGAGCCCGATCTTCGGGTTGGGCAGGGTTTAGGGCTGGGGTATCCAACCAATTGACCCTGCCCGGCCCGAGATATAATATATTTTTTTATAAAAATAATAATTTAGGATATAATTTTTTAACTTGATGGGGACATAAATGGTAGTTCTTTTTTTTTAGATGCCTTGATGATCAAGTTTGTAAACCTTAGGTTAAATATTTTTATATTTCTTAGAATTTGGAATTGGACAGCACTTGTGACTTGCATGAAATATTCCTTCCATATTTGTTTTGCCATTAAGTTTTTTGATAACACCATAATATTTTTGCTAGTGATATTTAACAATCTATTACTTTTAAAATAAGAGCTTGAAGTGATTTATTGATGGAAATAATTAATTTACTACAGTGTATTTCAGATTTGTGTGGATGGTTCTGATTTTTTATTTCGGTAGGGCAAGGTTGGAGACCCTGCCCGAGGTGCCCGATCCCTGCCCGACCCTGCCCGCCCGGCCCCTCCAAAGTCGGGCATCTTTCAGGTAGGGTCGGGCTTTGGGCATAGTTTTTTTGCCCGAAGACATTTAGGGCAGGGCATCGGGTTAATGGATTGCCCTACCCGACCCTGCCCATGCACAGCCCTACCTGGGACATTGTTGGTTCCTAGAGAGAATAGTGAGAGTTGTAAAATTATGGATATGAGATACCTCCTTGGACAAGGAATATTATTAGTATTTGGACTATTGGAAGAGATCCTAAGATTTGGAATGAACCAAAAAGATTTGATTCAAAGAGCTTAATGTAACCATTGATTACAATTTTGAATCAAATTTTGAGTCAATCCCATTTGGTGCTAGAAGAAGAATATGTCCTAGAATCATATTTGCTTTGCTTGTTTTAGAATTGTTGCTTTCCAATTTGCTTTGCCATTTTGATTGGAAACTCCCATAGGAATGAAGCCAGAGGAAATAGACATGAATGAGTCATTTGGTGCTGCAATAAAAAGGAAAAATATATTGAGTGTAGTTCCTATTTGTTATTTCCCTTGAAGTTGTATGTATTTATGACATAAAAGATTACAATGTTAAATATCATCGGATCAATATTTTGGAACAAAAAAAATCAAGATATTAAAATGGGATGATTGCACCTAAAGTCCCCAAATTAAAGAAATTTGCACCTAAGACTCAATATATTTTGAATTGATTTTGTAGGCCCAAAGGCATTATATGCAAATATACATTTTGGTAAAAAGACTCATTTGCCCCTCATTTGAAAAAATAACATCGTGCGCGAACTATATGTAATGAACAAAAATTATGTTATTAATATATGAATTTTATTATGTTATATATGGACATTTTATTGTTTATACTAATGGGAAACTTGTATATTATTATTCAACTAAACCACACAGATTATGTATAATAAATAGACTTTGTGTTATTAATATATTAACTTTGTCATGTTATTTATGAACATTATGTTGTCCATGCATTTGATAAACTTGTGTATTGTTGTTTAACTAAACCACATGGATGATGTATAATGAATAAATATTGTATTATTAATGTATAGACTTTATCATATTATATATGGACATTTTGTTTTGCATACACCTAGGAAACATGTATATTACTATTCAACTAAACCACATAGATTATGCATAATGAATAGGTATTGTGTTGTTAATGTATGGATCTTGTCATATTATATATGAACATTCTATTTTTTATACACTTAAGAAACTTGTATATTATTGTTCAACTAAACCATATAAATTACATATAATGAATGGAAATTATGTTATTAATATATGAATCTTGTTATATACAAACATTTTATTGTATTATACTTGAAAAACTTGTACATTTCCAACAAGAGACAAATGAATCTTGCTCACAAAAAAATATTTATATATAAAGCGTTTGGGTTTATAGAATCAATTCAAAATATATTAAATATCAGGTGCAAATTTCTTTAATACAAGAAAAAAAATTAATCTTTTAGTCTTTCAATTTTTAAGTCATTTGTAACTCAATCCCTCAACTATAACTCGCTGTAACTCAGTTTCTCAATTATGACTCACTTATGACTCAGTCCTTTAATTTTTGAATTACTTACAAATTAATCCCTCAACTTTTGTTCATTTTTTTTATATTAGCTTATATCTCACATCAATGAGTAAGAAAATAGTATTTTAAAATAATATATGAGCTTTTTTTTTATCCCTTTTATTTGATAAAAAAAATTTAAAAAAAATTAAAAAATAAGGACTGAATTTTAGGTAAATCAAAAGTTGAGAGACTGAGTCGCAACGAATTATAGTTAAGGGACTAAGTCGCAACGAGTCATAATTAAGGGACTAAGTTACAAATAAGTTGAAAGTTAAAGCATTAAAAGATTAATTTTTTCATATAAAAACTTTAGGTACGATTCTATCTATTAAAAAATTGTGTAATTAAAGGCTTGTTTGATTGTGTTTAACTTTTTCTAAAATGCTATGTTTTAATGCAATTTTCATCATCATTTTTCATAATAAAAAATCTATTTATTAATTTTAATTTAAAAATAATTTCATCGTTAACAAATTAGGTGATAATGATTATTGATGGTGGGCCATAACGAAGAATAATTTCCAATAATAATATATAGTGTACTTTAAAAAAAACAACTCTAAAATAATTTCATTTAAAAAGAAGAACAGCTTTAAAAATATTTATCCAAATTTTTTCATTTTAAAAAATTTAAAAAAAAACAGTTTTTTTAAAACAAAATCTAACCAGGCGTAATTCAATGAGTTCTCTACCTTGTCGGTTCCTTCGGCATCTTTCATTTATGCCAAGCGTCTTCTTCTTTTTGGGTTGGGCTGGGTCTCGCCTTTTACTCCTTTGGCCCAATGTAATTGTCGAGAACAGACTGCCTGATAAATAATTAAATCCATTTTTAAATTTCTGGCTTTCCAAAGGTAGCAGTGGTCAAATTTAATTTGTGAAGGCATTGCAAAATTTTCAAATAAGTAGTTGTAGGATACATTCTCTAACAATCATGAGTCATTAAATGAACCAATTTTTTTATTCAGAATTTGGATTGAATAAGATGCAAATTTAGTGAGAGGCGAAAAAATTGAACCTATCCTAGTCATTCGCGTGCGACTCACAGTTAATCTCAACATTTATTTTGTTAATTAAACAATAAGTTTAGTAGCTATTTCAACTCCGTAACTTTAAATAATCAAAAAATTTATGAAAATAATTTAAACTGAAAATCTATGACTCTTGCTACCCCTCACCCTCACTGAGTTCAACTCACCATTATATTCATTGATCTGTTTAAATCACTCTAATTCATTCCAATTTTAGAATATATCTTCCATATGCTGAGCATAAATTAACATCATTTATGTTCAAACAACTTAAATACAAAGACTTTGACGCAAGTTGCCCATAACTGTGATGGTTTAGTTTTGTTATGTTACTTTGCATGATGCATAACAATTAATACCCATATTCAGTTATACTACAAATGTAGTATAAATTTTAATATTTTTTTATTTTGATTTAGAATCAGTCAAAAATATAATAATATAAATTTGGAAATACATTGCAGCTTTTTTCTCCACCGATGGCTATGTATGACAGAGACACTTGTGGAATATGGACATTGTGAAGTACAAAATTATATATTAAAAAAAGAACTTTGCCTGAGCTGTATCAGTCTAAGTCAATGGCATGAAATACACGTTAAAGGAGAAGCCATAAAGTCGATCTTTGCTTGCTCTGTAAATTACAATTCACACCTCAAGTATACTGTTGACGTTTGAGTATAAAAGGCCTAGCACTTGACAACGCAAAACCCCACACTAGCCTATTTAGGTTTAACCATATCCATTCATTCATGGAGATACAGATCCCATATTCCATCGTCTTCACCTTCTTGTGCTTTTTCTTTGTGATCCTCAAGCTATCTTCTTCCAACAAACGCAAACCCATCAAAACCCTACCTCCAGGCCCATGGAAATTACCTCTTATAGGAAACTTACACCAGCTCGCTGGGTCTCTACCTCATCATTCTCTCACAAATCTTGCCAACAAGTATGGACCATTCATCCACCTTCAACTTGGCCAGCTTTCCCACATCATAGTGTCTTCACCAGAATATGCCAAAGAAATCATGAAGACGCATGATCAGATCTTTGCAAACAGACCCAAAATTCTCGCCTCTGATATACAAGCCTATAATAGCACGGACATCGTGTTTTCCCCATATGGAAACTATTGGAGGCAACTTCGAAAGATTTGTACTTTAGAGATTTTCTCAGCAAAGAGAGTTGAATCGTTTAGAAGGATAAGAGAAGAGGAGGTATCAGCACTTGTGAGGAACATCTCTGAACTTGAAGGTTCTGTCATAAACCTTGGTGGACAATTCTTGGCACTCACAAATTCTATAGTTGCAAGAGTGGCCTTTGGCAAAAAGACAGGGAACGTGGAAGAGGTTCTTCAAACTATAGAGCAATCGATAAAGCTAAGCTCTGGGTTATCAATTTCTGATTTCTATCCTTCATTTAAATTTCTCAGTGTCATCACTGGGATGAGAGCTCGAACAATGAAGTTGCATGAACATACTGATAGGGTGCTTGATGACATCATAAGAGACCACAGAGAAAAGAAAAGAAAAAATAACATTATTGGAGAGGCTGATGAGGAGGATCTAGTTGATGTTCTTCTCGAGATACAAAAGAACAGTGATGACTTTGAGATCCCCTTGTCTCTCGACAACATTAAAGCTGTTCTTAAAGTTAGTCCATGCGATCTAACTTTAATTTATCAAATAATTTTCAATTAGTTATTTATTATTCTTCTAATCAATTGTATGAATCCCTTTTCAGGATGTTTTCTTTGCTGGAACTGAAACAACAGCAACCACAACGGAGTGGGCAATGTCAGAATTGCTCAAAAACCCAGAAGCTATGAAAGATGCACAAGCTGAGGTATAGGGCACAAGTTGAATTTTGAATGTCATGTTACATTTATTTTCTAGGTTGTGCGTGTGTAAAATCTATCTCTTAGTCTGCTGGGTCATTTATCAATTGACATTGATTTATAACTTTGAAATTATTGAGTTGACTTACATATAAGAATTATTTTTGGCTCTACATATTAGGTAAGAAGAGTCTATGGAGGCAAAAAGTATGTGGACGAATCAGAACTTCACCAATTAAAATATTTAGGTGCTGTCATCAAAGAAACCCTAAGGTTGCATTCGCCCCTAGCACTATTGCTTCCAAGAGAGAATAGTGAAGGTTGTGAGATTAATGGATATAAGATACCTTCGAAGACAAAGATTATCATTAATGCTTGGGCCATTGGAAGAGATCCCAAATACTGGAATGAACCGGAGAAGTTTGAACCAAAGAGATTTCTCGATAATAAGGTTGATTACAACTTCAAAGGTTCAAACTTTGAGTACATACCATTTGGTTCTGGAAGAAGGATATGTCCTGGAATCACATTTGCTACACCTGTTTTAGAATTGTTACTTTCTAATTTGCTCTATCATTTTGATTGGAAACTACCAAATGAGATGAAGCTTGAAGAGTTGGAGATGGACGAGTCGTTTGGTGTTACAATAAAAAGGAAAAACCATCTTAGGGTTGTTCCTATTGGCTATGCCTCTAATTGTAATGTGTGATTATTCCTTGGATGATGTCTAGGCTGGTGTTTGATGTCCCTGGATCTTTACCGTGGATCCAAAAAATCAATAATAATAAAAAGGTTGAAGTGTAATTTTAGTTTTTTTTAATTTTATTTAAAATTTAAATTTAATCTCTTAATTTTATAAAATATATTTTTCAGCCCTCTAACCTTAACATCGTTAGTTTTAAAAAATTATTTTTTATGCTCGTCATTGTTATTAAAAATATTAAACTTAATATGTTGACATTTGAAAATATTTTATTAATGTTTAAAATTTCAATGTAGATTTTTTTTTGTGATGATAAAACTAATAGTATTAAAGTTAAAGAATTAAAAAAATATTTTATAAAATTAAAGAACTAAAATAAAATCTTATATAAAGTTAAGGATTAAAATATACTTTAACCTAATAAAAAATAAAGAAAATTAATATAAGTCCTTATAATTTTACATTATTTTGAATTAGGTTTCTGTAATTTATTTTACTTTAATCAAACTCTTATAGTTTGGTCGATTGAATATGTTAGTCCCTTATTGTTAAAATATTTTTATTTTCTCTTTTAAAAAATAAAATTAAGGGCTTTTATATGTTTATTAAAATATTATATAATTTTAAAATTAATTTCATAATTTTTATGATTCAGAATTTATATAATCAGGTTATGTTGTCCAAATAAATTTTGTCCATCTAAAATGTTCATAAAAATTAGTACAAATGTAATTATTGTATTAAATCAAAATTTTTTTAAATCAAATTTTCTATAAATTTTAAAAGTGTTTTTATTTTGAAAAATTAATATTCATTGACAAGTTTAACTTTCAGAGACTAATATATTTGATCAATTAAACTATAAAAGCTTGATTAAAATAAAATAAATTATAAAGACTAAGTTCAAAATCAAGAAAAAATAGAAGGACCTGCAGATTAATTTTTTGCAAAAAAATATAGTTATGTATAAATTAAACTAATAAATTACGTGTTTTACAATCATATATTTTAAAAAGCGAGATAAGTACGCACGACAAGAGATTAAAATTGCGTAAACTATTTGATTTCTTTATCAACCCTATCCAAGTTTTTCCAATGATGTTTAAACTTAAAATTTATAGATACTTTTGGACTTAATAATACATTAAAAATTTGGTAGCCATTTCAATCATTGTAAGGCACGTCATCATGAAATTTTCATTTTTTTTTGGACCAAAATCATGAAATTTTCATTTAACAAGCTTAATATTCAATGCTAAAGGAGATTTTCCGTTTGAAATATGATCGTTGGACAGTGAAAATTAAATTTTTTTTAATTTATAAGTCAAATAAAATAAAAATTAGAGTATAATTTTAATTTTTTAAATTTTATATAAAATTTTAATTTAATTTTTAATTTATAAAATATGTTTTTAATTCTTTAATCTTAACATTATTAATGTTAAATGATTATTTTTTTATTAGTCGTTATTGTCTTAACAAATTAAATTTAATATGTTAGCATTTAAAAATATTTTATTAATATTTAAAAATTTAATGTAAAAATTTATTATTATAAAACTAACAATATTAAAATTAAAAAATTAAAAAATATCTTATAAAATTAAAGAACTGTAACAAAATGTTAAGTCAAATTAAAAAATTAAATATATATTTTATTTTAAAACAAAAGTAAATGATTTGACACAATAACTACCCCTGAATTTAATAGTATTCAAACATGGCCTCCAGTCACGATATATGATCTTAGTCATCACAGTGCAATGGCCCCTACGGGGCGTACAATCATATCTTGAACTACATATAAATATAATTGTTTAGTGCCAAAATGAGACCAAATTTGGTTAAAGCCCAAAATAATAAAAAAGGAAATGTCTGACCCAGACAAATAAAGAATCAGGCCCAATAAATTATTAAATAAAGCAAAGCTTAGTTCCTCTAAAGGAGGTATCCTTAATTAAGTAGATGCTGAGTCGTGAGAAAAACGTGACTTGTGAGACTCGAAACACCTAAAGCAGAAAGAGTGTTACCTAAACGTGAGACCGTTACTTGACATGCCTTGAATGTCGCGAGCCCGTGTCAAGTGCGAGCAGATATTTTGGCACAAGCATCTGGCTCCTTGTTTGGCTAATATAATGGCCTTGAAGGAGCATTATAAATAGGATTCAGCTGCACTACTACAAAAAAAATTATATATAGCAATTATTTTTGGCTATATATAAAGGTTATTTAAGTTTTATATAGTAATTTTTAATTGTTATATATTCTGATGCTATATATATTTATGGTTGAAGTAAGATCTCCTTTCTTTCTCATCTACGTGGGAGTCTTACATATATATATATATATATATATATAAACTGCGCGCACGAGCATTCTTCTTATATATATATATATATATGGGTTTGTGTGTGTGGTATATTCAATATGTCTAGAATTGCTTCTTTGGTTCATCTTGCATTTTCCTTGCGCCACTGTACTCGAAAATAATTATTGGATTTTCTTCTGAAACAGGCTGTTTTTATCAACATCGATTTATCATACCAGATAGAAAAAGAAAGCTCTTGGATGCAAAAATATAATCTATAGATTTCTGATATCCAGTCTTTACTGTGTAGATTATCATTTCTAGCTTGTTGCCATGGATAAGTTAATGTCCAAGGGAATGCAGAATGCTAACCAAGCTCAAGGTCAGAAACTGAAAATCACTTTTCTTTTGGTGTGATTTAATTTGTTTTCTGAGTATCTTGTCTGAGTGATGTGATTTATTTTGGCACTTTGTTATATAGTTCGTGGTTTTTATTATCATTTCTTACATTGTGAAAATTAAGTGGCTTTATTGTGATAGAAGAATGGTGCAGATTTTTGTTTCCTAACATTTTAAATTGAAGACATTTGGAAGATGATTGTGGTAGACAGACGTCAAAGCCTTTGCAGAACATTTAGAATAAAATTGAATGTAATGAATAAGATTTTTTTTATTACAACTTTCACCATTAATTTGATATTCATAGCTTGCCACATATTGTATGGGGATTTTTTTACATTATTAGTTTCTTAATTTTCTTTACTTTGTATTATCAGGTGGCTTGACAAGATTATTTTGGAGATCTAAATTTCACAGTTCCACATCTATTTGAGGTGAGTCAACATATCAATGACCTTGTTGATTATTTTATTAGGACAAAGTTATTCAGATCTGTTATGATTTAATTAATTTATTTTTCATTATTTTAAATTTGTGCAGGAACAGAAGTAGCAACTTTCAATTCTTGATGTTTCCTCATTCAAATTTATTGATCCAATAATTTTCATATACTTCACCATTGTTGTGTTCATGTCTTAAGTTCAAAGACGTGTATTTCTAATAATAATTGTTATGTTTGTAATTTATTTTACAAGTTATTTGTTGTTATCATATTGTTGTGTTTTTAATTTAATTTACAAGTTATTTTTATTATGAAAATTTAATAATGATGAGACCATCAAAATTTGTGAGTTTTGTGAAATTAATTATTTTTATATTTTTTATTTTTTTAAATACACATATAGGAGCGCTTTCTTGATGAGCACTCCTGTAAATGTCAACATTTAATGTTAGGAACTCCTACAGGAATGCTTCTAGAGAAAGCACTCTTGTATATCAATCTTATAAGAGCGCTTCTAAAAAAAGTGCTCCCCTATGCCAATCTTATAGGAGCGTTTTACAAAGCAGTCTTATATATATGGGAGCGCTGGCTATAAAAGCACTTCAAAAGCACTCCATAAGCAAAAAATAAGTGCTCCAATAGGTATTTTTTATAGTAGTGCAAGACACCTATGTCTTGTGTCTTGTCCCAAAAAACAATCAGGATTAAATTTTTATTCCATATCTCATTCCGTTCTGAAAGTCATCCCGTCCCATTAAGAATTAGAACAGGATTGAGATTAGATCGAGATGTCTCACAATTCTCATAAAGTGGACAATGTAAGAGAAAGACTTGAATAATAATATTCATTAATTAAAATTTTAAATCACTTAACTTATTAAATTTAAAACTAAAACAACACGAGTATATAAATTATAACAATTATTAAATTACATCAATCACAACTATAAATGTACAAGTTAAAGTCAAGTATACATGAGATATAACCCATTATGATAGCAATTATAAACAATCTTTAGGCTATAAAAGTAACAACAACAGACAAGCCTGACACAAACATCAAGTCATTATTTTTCTTCTTTAGTCAAAATATATTAAGCTAGTGATTCTTCTAAAAATAAAGCAAGAAATATGATATAAATAAAAATTATTGAATAGGTAGATATAAGCATAAATTATATTAATATAATTAATATATTGTAAAAAAATATATTATCTTGTATTGTTACTCTATGTTATTAAAATTATCAATATCAAAAATTGTTAGTTTTAAATAAGAATAGTGCATATTGAAATTATAATTAATGTAAGTATAAATTAGATTAACTTAATTAATAATTTAATGTATATTTTTAAAATAAAAAATAATATATATATATATATATAATATTCAGAATGGGACAGGACATCTCAAGGGCAATCCTGTATCTCATCTCATCCTGTCTTGAACTCCTTTCATGTCTTATTTCGTCTCGCAAAATTTCATCCTAATTGTTTTCAAGCTAGGACAAAACCCATTTCGATATGATCGAGATGGAATTGAGCCAATCAAAATGGATATAAGTTGAACAATCTTACATTCTTTACTAATTACAGCTCCAAAACATACCTAAATATATAAGTGTATGAAGTACGCTTCTAAGTTGAGATCTTTAATTTGTAATCACAGTAATTTTTGTTCATGGTTCATACAAAATATTTTCAAAACAATGCTGTTTTCTTTTCATTTCTTGAAATGCTCCAATTGTTGTCCAAGTATAAGTGGATTTGAATTAACGTGGAAAGTCTCATATCGAATAAAGTTAGGGTTAATTATTAATGTAAAATAAAAGGGCAGAGCCCTTAAACTTAAGCTTTAAGATTTTGAATTAATATATAATATTCTTTCACTATTCTTGCCCATTTTTCTTTCTTCCCTTTTCTTGAATCACA